TGTCGGTAGCCTACGTTTGCATCTCCCATCTCCCCCTCTGTCTGGGTGCAGGAGCTGACAGACGCTTCCCCCTCTGTCTGGGTGCCATTTGATAACAGCCCTCCCCTATCTCTCGCCCCGCAGGTCTCCGAGCTTGAGCTTCGCCTACACCCGGCCCAACTCCCGGGTGACATGGAGACGGGGGCGGGCCCGCCTGGCTCGCCCGAGGGCTCGCCCGTGGACTCGCCCGTGGACTCGCCCGTGGACTTGCCCGTGGACTCACCGGTGGACTCACCCGAGGACTCGCCCGTGGACTCACCGGTGGACCCGCCCGTGGACTTACCGGTGGACTGCTCACCCGAGAACTCGCCCGTGGACTTACCGGTGGACTCACCCGAGGACTCACCCGAGGACTCACCCGAGAACTCGCCCGTGGACTCACCGGTGGGCTCGGCCCTGGACGGGGCTGCCCCCGCAGCCTGCTCGCGGCCGCGGCCGCGTGCGCGTGCGCGTGCGCGCGGGGCCCGCCGGCCGCACCGGACCCACATGTGCGTGGCCTGCAGGACACACGGCGTGCTGGTGCCGCGGAAGGGCCACGCGTTCTGCCCTAACAAGCACTGCGTGTGCCCCAAGTGCGACGTCCAGCGCGGGGGCCCGCCTTTAGGCCCGCCCTGCAACCCCGACGACTTCGGCGGCCCCGGCTCGGCGCGTCCAAGTCAGGTGAGCACGCCGGATGTCGGGCTCCCCGGGCGCGAGCGTGGAGAGCAGAAACGTGGAACAGCTTGTAGGACCCGGCGGGCTGGTGGGCGCGCGTTCGTCCGGAGGGCTTCGAAGCGAGCGGTTGTTGTAAGTACAATATCAAGGAATTTACTTCAGGTGGTGGAGTTGCTGTAAAAAGTAGTTGTAGGTTGTTACGGGTAAATGATTGTGCATGAGATGTGTCGGAATATTACAATTTAAAATTGTAAAATTAGCATTACGTATCGACTTGTAATTCTTCGAAGATTAAGAAGAATGGGCTGTCGTAAATTTACAACATATTTTGTAAATATTAATAACAAAATATGTTGTACAATTACGAGGATATTTTTAACAGTGGAGGGATTTAAGTTGTATTTTCTAATTATTATGGCCCAACCGAGCCCATGGTTCATTTTTCGGTCGGATGTAATTAGCATATTTCATATTTAAAGCGCACGGCGTGGTCGGGTTAGCTGCTGTCCAGCGAACCATGAATAAGACCATACTCTGATGAAGCCAGAAGCCTGGCTGCCACGCGTGCCTCCGTCTTTCAAGTTCAGTGGCAGCCCATGGAATGATAACTTCTAATATCAAAACGATATCAGACCGATACTTACGCTGGGATATATTCGCCCGTTTTTTCGCAAAAGCATAATGGCAGCAAAAATAATAAAACAGAAGCGGTAGATAGAAAAGGGACATGTTGGAGCCATATATATATGTCTATGGTTGGGGCAGGGACCAGAGGCAGGCGGGGTCTTGGCGACAGGGCTCGACCCAGACAAAATAAAAATAGGCCACTGAGGTCTACTGGCATACTCTTTTAAAAAATCTGTATGCATATGTTTTTGCTTCATTTCTGCTGCTTTTACGGCAAGGCAAGGTCAGTTAACATAAATTAAATCCAGATTGAAAACGTACCGGGTGATTCACACAAGACGCAGGTGCGGGCAGGTTTGCCTACTCACTTTGCCCGTAAGGCGCCATATGGTTCCTTATGTTACCAAATGTAGACAAACTCGCCTGCACATGCGTCTTCTCGACGAATCACCCGGTA